CAGTGTATATCACTTTGGCAAACCCCATTCAGGTGGTAGGTGCATTTTGAGCATATCCATCAGTCCAGAGAGTTTCATCGTTCTACCTCGAATGTTACGGAAGATACAGGGGTGTTTTCATTAGAAGTGAGACACACTGTATATATGTAACCTGTTCATATAGAAGACTAAAATTATTAGTGGTAAAAGACACAAAGTTGTCTGAGAGAAACTTGTACTGGCCGTGAAATTATATGTAAACAGTACCAAAATTGAATAGTACTAATAGCTAACAGTACTAAGAACAGTTTACGCTTCAAGAGTACTGGAAGTGAACAGTGAAAATGAATAGTGAAAGTACAAACAGTACTGACCGAACAATAAAAGGAACAAGAGCTCTCTGTAGTTGAAAATTTATATCAGTCAATCCGAATGGTAATGTACGTAATGGCCCAGACTAGATGTCTGCGTCGCGCCTAAAGGCTAGACCTGGAGGAGGCAGAAAGACCCGAGACGCAGTTTACAGAAATGAAGATGTTTCCCGTTTTCTCTTTCAGTATCGCGGTAGTGGACACGATAAGAAACATAGGTAATGATATTGTTGCCTCAAAAAATGGGAAACACGAAAAATTTTGCCATAATTTTTCATATCTGGGTATTCATGGTCAATCAATGACACATTCAGCGCCAGAATTCTCAATGCAATGCTGCTGAAGGTCGTTCAAGTTCAAAGCAAAAAGTCTAGAAGCCGCCTCAGTCATGCAGTTGAAGGTAGTAAAGGTCGGGTTGTAAATCAAGGTTGTTTGGAAGTCAAACCCGAAAAACTACTCCAAAGCCATCTTGTCTCCGTTGTTTGACGTAGTTCAAGGTCATTCGAAGTCAAACACAAAACACTCTCTCAACTTAGCTGTGTTGTGCAGTGTAGGTTCAAAACTTCAAGAAAGCCGCGTAACTGGCTCAAGATCATTCGAGGTCAAATTCACCCTGCCGAGAATATAGGTAGTGAATGAAGTTCATTCAAGGTCAAACCCAAAACACTACCTCAGAGTTGCTTTGCCTGCATCGTGTGACACAGGTCAAGGTCGTTCAAGGTCAAACACCTTAGCTATGTTGTGCCGTATAGGCTCGAGTTCATTCGAAATCAAATTCACCTGGCCTCACATGACCAAGCTCCCGAAACTGCTTCTCCATTTTGCTTATTGTTCTCATGAAATAGGTGAGCTACTTCCTGTTGTGTTTGGGTTTTATCTCCGTAACCAATCGTTTGTTAACTGTTATTTTATGCATTTCCGTTAATCTAACCATTTGTCAGACTTGAAGTTAACGAACTTTGAAGTTGAATTGAAATACTGACAACTAATGTTGTAACATACAAAACAAGTCGACAAGGCGTTAAAAACTAACGTTACCACGGAAATTATTTACAATTTTTTGAAGGATACTATCTAAAAAGAACATTGCTATAGTTTTTGCTCACTTTCTTATTTTCAATACCTCAACATGAAATGAGTTTTGAGTATGCTGCGAAATTGCTAAAAAAGTACCAATTTCTTCTACAGGTATTATTATCTGCACGTCGAAATATTTTTTGTTTTCAATATCGATCTCAACTTTCTATAAAGTCAGTCCAACCAAACAATAATGTTGTCCAACAACGTATTCAGTCAAGCTAGCGTAGAGATACGTACCATATGGAAACCTCTAATCAAGCGAAAAACGACCAACTCCCGCCAAACGGTCATCTCCCGCTAAAACCAATGAAGCGGAGAGAGAGAGAAGAGGAGATAGGTGAAAGCACTCGAATGACCTATAAATCATCAGATCTCGGAGGAATGAGTCCAGTTATCACCCGAAGATGATTGTGGATACTAACAATCGAAACGTNTTTCATCATTTTCCAAACGGAGGCGACACTCGTCTTCCGACAGTCCGATTCTCTGCATATGATGATACAGACGACAGTGACCTGTGACAAGGATTGTTAGATATCGTAGTTTATCCCTACTGTAGTCCAACAACTGTTCGGTATCAAGCTTCGAAGGGTGAATAAACGGCTTGAAGTGAGCTAATCTTGAGACAGTCTGCTGAAAGTCTTTTTTGAATCTTCTTGCCCTCCATGTGTTCAATGTTCGTTTGCCAAAACCTAAAACGATGCCAATGACAGGTTCTGGTCCGATGAAGCTACTTGCAGCTGCTTGCAGCTGCTGACTGCTGAGACTCCTTTGCAGAGAAGTTTCATTGCTTTCCAGGCGAGTATGGCCAGGAATCCAGACCAGAGACAACTTTTTGAGGCTTCCTTTAAGGGAAACTCCTTTTTGGCAATTTGCTACTGATATAGGTTGAATTCTACCAATTTTTTCCACACATAATACAATAGCATAGATTTTTTCCTAGGCAGGTCCCTCGGTCAGCAACTGAAAATACCTGAACCAGAACCTGGAGGTGCTTTTGATACATCTATGAACCAACAACTATCTGCTTTCACTATTTCTCTATCCCGGAGGATCCAGTTCTCTCTACTTGGGAACAGTACTATATAAGGCAGTTCGTAGTTGACATTTGGAGGCATAATGTCAGAGGTCATTTCCAGAATTCTGTGACTTCCAGTGTCAGCCAATTGCAGTGTCAGCCAATTGTCTGTTGCACTCTGCAATAAATTGATTTGTGCAACAGGGAATATGCAGACTATTTTTTAATATTTTTTATTCCATATTCAATTCATTTTGACATAGAAAAAAAAATAAACATAGCTGTAAGAGTAGTAATCATTTCTTCATGAAATCTTAAAAATATTGGTTTAATTTGACAAGTTTAAACGCTCCTATTTCTCGCGCGCTTGAGGCGTGACGTCATAGGGCACGTCCTGTCAGTTTATTGTTCACATTGAGAGTTAGTTTGATAGTTAACAAGGTGTTTTAGTTTAAATATCGCGTAATAATCATGGAAGAAGAAAAAAAGCCATTTTATAGATATTGCATGGTACGAATATGTCCGAACACTATAGAAAGTACACCAGATAAAGTTTCATAACCTTAAAGTTCATAACCTTATTTACGTACATTTGAGGGTATATTGAGGAAAATAATTTCATAAGTGCATGTTTGCATAAAAACAGATTTACTAGATTAAAAATACCATGTTTTACTATAATTACCTTGCAGCTTTTACGCCCTTAACCTCAGCAGATGTAAACTCCGGGTTTGACGCAAAATATGTGGTCATCATTAATGCATCTATTTTTGGAAGATTATCCGTTGTCCGTCATTGCTGTTGATGACGCTTAGTATTTCTTGACATTGAAATATTAGAAAACTAAGCTAGAATAGCAATACAACCAATTTTTCTCTCCAACACAACCTGAATGTATGAAATAAATCACAGGTGACTGACAGGACATGCCGTATGACGTCACATTTCATTTCGACCAATGGTGGGGCATTTTACAAATTTGAATTTCACTCGTAAATTTTTCACTTTTTGATTTATGTTTTAAATAATTAAATACATCTTAAATTAGAAAATAACAAATTGAGTGTAATACTAGGACCTTAAAAGCTCAGGAAAAAAAATCAGCCCATTTTATTTTTCATGCATATTCCTTATTGGCAATGTGCACAAGTCTATATGCATTCTAATTAGCCTCTTTCTCTAGAAAAATTCAGACAGGAGGTAGATCTAGAAGGGTCTTGATAGCTGCTGAAGGTGTGGTACCACAGATGGCCAAACAACCCTCTCTGTGAGTCACAGAGCTTCGCCCGAGCCGTTTTCTGTAACACCTCCGGCCAGCTGGCAATTGCTCCATAAAATCATCGGTCAGACAATAATCACGTAAATTCAATGGATTCATTTGGGACCTAATCCCCAAGGTTTACCACAAATCCTTCGACATGTCCATAGGGACATGAATAAAGCCATTGCTTTTGATGCCCTAGCCCGTAGGCCTTGCATCAGGCATCTTCCCTCTATCTAGCGCCATAACTGCCAAGGGAACCCCTAATCCTCCGAACCCCCTACCCCTTTCCACCGGTGCAAGGCGTCAGCAATACGGGGAGACAAATCAGCGGGGTACAAGACCCAATTCCTTCATTTCCGAAAAAATTACAAACAATCATCAAACCATAGTACATCAAATATAACCAAAAGCTGACAATTCTAGCTCCTTCGTAATAGGCAGACATAAATATGAGAGAAAAATAAAGATTAACATTTCTATTTGACCCAACCCATGTATCCCAGTTGTACATCATTATTATCGTACCTCCTTGGATATATTTACAAGCAAGCAGTTTCGTTTCCTGTCATGACTTGGGAGACCGTAACCTCTCCTCCTAGTTAGTAGGCTCTTACTTCGTCCTTCACCACGTTGTCCGCGCAATCATTCACAAATCGTATCCATTCATCCTTTTTCCCATTTACATCTCTCAACATAATTTCACCATTCATCCTTTCCGTCCTCTCCTTCCACTTTCGCCAACCAATCCCATCCCCTTTCATACATCTATCAATCACAGGCTCTGCCGTTTCAGGCTCCCCATAGTCACAAGGCCAGGGAACCTAAAGACCCAGGTTAAATTTTGCCAGATATCCTGGAAAGTTCCCATGTCTCTTGAGCAGTTGGACAGCCTTCCCCGACAAAATCTGTAGAACATCCGCCTCCTTTTCCTCTCATCTAACATGCTATTCGTATATGCTTTTCCTGCTTCCCATGTAGCCTCTGTTTTGTTCATACCTTTGGCGGCTTCCTCATGAGCCTTCGTATTTCCTACTTTGTTGCCATCGTGTTCCCTGACTCCCAATCTAGGTTTCATCATACGTTCTGTTTTTATGAAGAAGATTGGAGTGTTATCTTATTGAAGAGAGAAACAGTGATTTTAAGTAACAGAACAAGTTATGAGAGTTCCAATAATTTGCTAATGTCTGTTGTCCTCAAGAAAATTCAACGTTATGTTTATTAACCCAAGTTTTATCGCGTTCTGTTTCATGAAAATAAAATGGGAGGGTTATCTTATTGAGGAGAGAAATAGGGGAATGTAGGTATATATTCCATCATTTTCCTGAGGTATGTTGAACATAACTATCTAACAAGTTCAAATTGAAATTTCACGTTTTTCACTGTAGCATTTTCTGTTTGTGAAGGATGGAACGGCAGCAGCGTGTGTTTTTCAAGTTATTATTTAATGATTCACTTATAAACAGTACAGGTATTCCTGGGATTGAAGATAGCGCCACACGCATATGCTTCCCTGCGAAGTTGGTTCTTTATGGAACTTGACAAGCAAAGGGCAAATATAGCACCAATCAACTGAAACAAAAATGAAGGTTAATATTCATTGATGATTTGATAAGCAGCTATGTGTCCCTTCATGGCTGATCTGTTTATGAGCTGCTTTGAAAGGGAGCGTGAGAAGACTTTAATTACTTTCCACGAACTTGAATCCGACACTTGGTTGAGATTCCTGCTATTTTTGACACGAATAAGACTGAGGTAGAGAATTTTGTGACTCCCAAATATTCGTAAATAGAGTTCACGTAAGAAATTGAAAATAACAAAGAGTTACCATTCGATAAGCAGCTATGTGTCCCTTCATGGTTGATCTGTTTATGAACTGCTTTGAAAGGGAGCGTGAGAAGAGTTTAATTACTTTCCACGAACTTGAATCCGATTCTTGGTTGAGGTTTCTACTATTTTTGACACGATTAATAGTGAGGCAAAGGATTTTGTGACCAAATATTCGAATGCAAAGTTCATGCATGAAATTGAAAAAAAAAGGTTACCATTCTTGGATGTTCTAGTTATTAGAAACACCGATAAGAGTTTGGAGGAAGAATACTAGCACTAATAACTCTGGATATTCGCATAGGGCATGCCTGACAGTTTCATCCTTCTGTCTTATATCGGCAATAACGCGACGAATGTTGTCCTCCAAATGATCAATCGTTGGTTTATCTGCGTAGACTAGCGACTTCACACATCCCCGCAGAAAATAGTCTAGCGGCGTTAAATCGCACGATCTTGGAGGCCAATTCACGAGTCCGTCAGTCTATTCATATTGAAATACCAAACCAAACTAAACATTAATCATTTGACAAAATTGCTGCCAGTTAACGAAGTGTTGCCAACTTAAAGTTTTATGCCCTTTATTACAGTTAGAAATAGAGTCATAAAAACGGACACAACCTCATACGAAAACTATGATTTACCTCTATTGATGCAACAGCGATGGCCAGAATGCCTAACAAGTCCAATCCGTTTTTGAACCATTTGTAGGAATTCTCCGCACAACCCTTTCTGTAACAATCACTCGATTTGAGGGTGCAGTTTGCCCTACTGGTACAGCAAGAGTCTGGAAGTTTCTCATTAGCCCAGTTCCAATCCTGAGGTCGATCCACTCCGCAACATTCGAGCTGAAAGTTAATTAAGACACGTATTCAAGTTAAAGCACATGTACTAGTCTCAAATCATTGACTTTTGGGACATCCAAGTCCTCATTTAATCTTACTATGCGATTCATTGACGTATTCGGTGTGTTGAAAAGTTTTTAGGTTAGCACACAGATGGCGCTACCAGTATCGAATCTACATGATTATTAGTTAACCCTAACCTTCAAAAGACACGTGTACAAATTTTACAGCTGTCGGGCTATAAGTTTGTGGGATAGAACATTTCGAGTGAAGCAACTTTTGTTGGTGTGAAGGAAATTGATGAATAGGAAATTTGTTTGTTGAAAAAGCATTGCTTTTGAACGAAAAAAATACTGTTGAAGCCAAGCTTTGGCTTGATAAACATCATTCGGATTTTGATATTTTGAACTTTCCAATGCATAGGTGCAACATATACAATGCGTTGTCAAATTCCACCCCCTTGAAAAAAACATGTTCTTGCTACACAGACTTGATTGGTATTTGTTTGTATATATGTTTATGTGTATGTATATTTTTACAGGCGAGAGAAGGGGAGGTTTTACCGGGCTATACAGGACTTTCACCCATCGGCCTGTGATTCTCCGAACTGTCTTGTGGGGAAAGGACATTCCACAGCGCTATAAAGCTTTCCCATCTGAGCCATATTCCAGCTGTCCCTAGAGCAATGTCTAACGTTGGTACTGGAGAATAGCACAGGAAGCGACTAAGGTAGAAAAAGGTTAGGTTAGGTCACGATAGATTGGGTCAGGTTAGGTTATGTTAGGTTAGGTTAAGTTAGGTTGCCGATTGACCTCCAGCCGAGGACAGCCGAAAACAGGAACAGGAAAATGAATGCAGAACTGAGAAGGAACACACTCGAGAAGTGGCAGGATAGATGGAGGGCAAATACAGCGGTGGCACAAAGGAAGAAAGTACTGATCCCCGATATAAGCGTGTGGACGGAATGTAGACACAAAAGGGTGGACTACCATACGACACAGTTCCTAACCGGACATACACCCACCGTATCGGGGAAGCGGAAAACGCCTTGTGCATCTATTGCGGAGCACAACCATGAACGCGACCCAAACCATACTATCTTCTATTGTAGGAGATGGGAGCACTCCAGGGAAGACGTGGAGGTAAACGAGGAAAACGTAATGTCATACATGCTAGAAAGCTACACAAAATGGAACACAGTGCACCATTTTCATTCACTTCACGCACTAAACTTCGTAACAATTTTAAAAACTATTTATAGATATAAATTATGATATAGAGAAATAACAAATGTGCGAATACTGTTTTGAATCAGTCCCGTTTGTATTCCTTCTATATAAATAAATATTGATAGACTTCTGTAAAGCATTCAATACCTTGAATCATCAACTACTTCGATCTATATAACATCATAATGAACTTTCTCATAACACTGACATTTTTTTATTCATATCTTTCACATAGACAACAAATTGTTAGGGTGGAGAACAACATATCAGATTTCAATAAAATTCTTCAGGTATCCCACAGGGTTCAATCCTTGGACCTATCCTCTGCAAAATTTACACCTCTCATTTGACAAACTGTTTGAAAAAACTCAAATATCATATGTATGCGATGATACACAGTTGTATTATTCTTTTACCCCTGATTATTGAGGTACTAGTACTTCAAACTCAATTACAGCTACTGGACTGAATCATGACCGGTGAGGAACCCTTTCCTCAATACAATAAGTACAGCTGCCGGATTGAGTCATGGCCGGTAAGAAACCCTCCCTTAACCCTCCCAGCTGCCTGTATGACCATGACTCAGTCTGGTAGCTGTACATACAATGTACTTATTGTATTGAGAGGTGGGCTTCTCACCAGCCATGAGTCAGTTCGGCAGCGGTACTTAACCTGATAACTGTAACTGGAAAATCAAAATTTTTACTTCGAATACTGAAATTGTTATATGACAAATACTTTTTGTTTCTACAA